AGAAGAATTAGACTGTATTAGAATATATTTCTGAGGATTGTGTTTGCTAAACTGATTGTTCCTATTGCTTTTCTCTGATGTGTATTGAAGTCCCTCCGTGGCTTTTCTGACTTCCTGCATTACTTTTCAGCATGCAAATAAAGTCTATCCATGTCACTCTGCTCATCAAATACGGCCCTTTCGCAAAGGGGATCACCTTCTAGATTGAGCCCATCTTGCTGTTGCTTCTCTGTCTAGGTGATGACATACCTCAATTTCTGTGGAGTAATGAACAGCGGAAAAAGCTCCTAGATCCCATGCCAGAATCACTGACTGCTTCTCCAGACTTCCATTTGGAGAATGGATCTCTGCCTGCAATGGTGATTGAGAAAGAATTTGAGCTAGGTAAGAGCCACAAACTTTCTAGACTGCAAGGGATCTCTTCATGTTCTATGCTGGTCACAACATCTCTCATGCTCGTCCCCTTCGCGAGTTTTCTGGTGGGCAGGTGGGGAGTAGCTTCAATAGTCTGATCGTATACATTTGATGTGACACTTTGTAAACTTTCATTACAGGAAATGAGACTTATTGTATCAAACGGGAATATTGGGCCAATGAAGAATACAAGATATGTTTTGCTGTTCCAGCTAACTTTCCCCAGTTGGATGCAAAGGGATTTGTAATAAAGGTAATATGTTAATTATACATGAAATCTGAAATGTTATATTTTCATCTGTCATTTTAGTCTACCATACAGTAAATCTAGTTTTAATTTCTTAATTCCAGGCATGAAATGAGAAATTTCAAAACCTCTTTCTAAGTAGCAATATAAATGAAAAGTTTCTGATTATGGAAAATGTGTTTAACAGTAAAATGGGGGGAAAAAAAGACAGAAAATTAAGATGAGCAATTTCTGCTTTATTCCAAAAATAAATGTTGTTCTTATGTACCTTCCTCTAGGTGTATTCTCAGCCTGTACCTTGGGATTTTTATATCACACTTCAACTACAGGAGCGTTTGAATACTGATTTTGACCAAAGCTTCAGTGAGAATTGCAGCTGTTTCCTCTACCAAGATGGCTGTGCTGTTCTACACAGGGATATCAATCGCTTTATACTTGGGGTTAGTACAGATGGCCAAAGTACAGCTGTACAAGACATGAACTCCTTCTGTAGGTACCAACAGGGAGTTTTGTCAGTCATTCCTGAAGACTTTCACATGTTTAATCCTGTAGTCTAGATACTCTGACTTTTTGTTTTGTCTTTTAAAACTGTTCACTAAAGCCTTAGATAGGATTGGTTTCTCATTTCTGGATTTCTGAGACTCATTTAAACCTTTTTTTT